GGATCTCTGTGAGTTCGAGACCAGCCTGGTCTACAAGAGCTAGTGCCAGGACAGGCTCCAAAGCCACAGAGAAACCCTGTCTCGAAAAACCAAAAAAAAAAAAAAAAGTGGTAAAGAGATGATACAGATAAGAAAACTATAAAAAGTACAACTCACAAAAGTGGGACAATGTAATAAAAAGCATTTTTTTGTTTGTTTTTTCGAGACAGGATTTCTCTGTGGCTTTGGAGCCTGTCCTGGAACTAGCTCTGTAGACCAGGCTGGTCTCGAACTCACAGAGATCCGCCTGGCGCCACCATCGCCCGGCTATAAAAAGCATTTTAGTAGCTAAGTGGAGGCTCATACCTTAGGAGATGGAGGCAGAAGATCATTAAGTGGGTAAGTGGGAAGTTACTTGTGTAAATTAGTAGGATCTAAACTCAAAATTAAGGGCTGAATATTCAGTTCTTTGAAAGAAGACTGCTTACCTAGCTGTGTTAAGACCCCATTTCAACCTCCAGTGTCTACCATCCCCTAAAAAGGCATGTTAGTATCCTATTTACCTCACAGAAAATTACTGCTAATTCTCAGTACAGAACACATTGGATTTATTATTCAAGGTCTGGCTAGATTACAGATTAGTTTAAGCCTAGCCTGGGTAACCTATAGATATCCCGTCTCGGGGGGGAAAAAAAAAAGGGCATGTGTGTGTGTGTTGAGGATGTAGCTCAGTGGTATAATAATGCCCGTCTAGCATGTGCAAAGTGCTGGGTTCAATTCCCAGAACTAAAATGTATTGACTCCATAACACTTTTCCTAATTATGATCCTAAAAATATGTGTGGCATGCTTTAACAGAAGTCAGAGAAGAATATATTGTTGGATTTGGTATTCTAAGAGTTATCCAGAAAACCGTCTTAGATTTAAACATTCCTTAGGATTCCAAACAGCAAACACACATACACTGACACACTCTCTAAAATATACATAAACTTAACATCACTTTTCTATTCCTAGAGGTATTTTATTTCAAGAGATAGTAAAGAAGTTAAAATTTCCTACATGCCCTTGATATTATATGGTAGCTCATAAAAGCCAGCATAAAATTTACCATTTTCTAGGGACTGGCTATTACTCAGTAGCTTTGCCTGCCTTCTTTCCAAGGCCAGTTGTTTATTTCTCTCAATCCTCTGTTGCTGCTCTTCTGTTAGACTTCTACTTGATTCAGAAGCCAACTTCTTGCTGTCAAATGAGCTTGTCAAAAAGGGATCAAATCCAGCTGCAGTTGCATCGAGGTTATTAGTTTCTTCAACTTCATCTGTGGCAGAAATAAAAAGTTAATACAACTGTACTATTAGAGGAGTTAGAGAAAGAACAGCCTTCAACCACAGTTTAAAGTGGCAAATGGCCTAACCTTAAATAATTTGTAAGGTACAAGAATGTAGCTAGTACAGACTGGGTCAAGTAAGTACAAGAAATATTTACAAATTACTCTTATGGTGAGCTGCAAGTTACACCGAGTAGACATACTAAATATGTAAAAGGAGTCTGGGGAGGCGGCTTGGTTGGGAGAGCATGCAAAAAGCCCTGGGTTTGATCTCCAGTGCTCAGTGAGGTGGCAAACTGCTGTAATCCCCACACTTGGAAGATAGAAGCTGGGGTTATTATCATCAGTAGTTAGCTCACAGTCAGCTTGAGAAATAGAAGACTCTGTCTCAAAAATAAAAATACATAAAGAAGTTCAAATGTGTAATTCCAGCACAACAGACAGAGGTAGAGGCAGGCAGGGGAATAAGAAGTTGAAAAGTTCAAGGTTCTGCTATTTAGCAAGTTTAAAGCTACCCTGGGCTACTTGAGATCTTTTAAATTTATTATTGTTATTATTTTGTTTTTTGATACAGTTTCTCTGTCTATCTTTGGCTGTCTTAAAACTAGCTCTGCAGACCAGACTGGCTTTAAACTTAGAGATCTACCTGCTTCTACCTCCCGAGTGCTAGGATTAAAAGTGTACCACCACTGCCTGGCTTGAGATCTGTCCTAAAAATGAGGAAAGAAAGACAAAACAGCAGGAGCAGTAATGAATGGGAGGGATATGATTTTAACAATGTAGTTGAAAGATTTAAGTGAGTTGACACAGTTTGAAGAGGGTAAAAAAATTAACTATATTGATCCAGGGGAAATTCCAGCTTTTACTTTTAATGAAATAAGAATTGACTGACAAGCGGGCGGCAGTGGCGCACGCCTTTAATCCCAGCACTCGGGAGGCAGAGGCAGGCGGATCTCTGTGAGTTCAAGACCAGCCTGGTCTACAAGAGCTAGTTCCAGGACAGGCTCCAAAACCACAGAGAAACCCTGTCTCGAAAAACAAAACAAAACAAAACAAAAAAAAAAGAATTGACTGACAATAAATCTAGAAATGTAAAAGTCTTAGCCAGGCAGTTGTGACACACCTTTAATCCCAGCACTCAGAAGGCAAAGACACGAACTCTTTGTGAGTTCAAAACCAGCCTGGTCTACAGAGCAAGTTCCAGGACAGCCAGGACTACACAGTGAAACTTTTCCCTCCAAAAACAAAAACAATCTAATAAGCAATTTCTTTGGAGAAAAAAAAAATCAAGTTAATTAACAAATAAAGATGAATGCTACACATTCAAAGTAGATAAATTTTAAATTACAGAAAAGGAATAAAGGAAAAATATCAGTAACATTAACAAAATTTCCAGCGTTTATGAACAGGCTTCAAAAAATGAAGACTAGGGATGGGATCAATGGGTACTGATGCTTACTATGCATTAGTTCAGATCCCCAGCACTGTAGCGCAGGGGTAGGAGAAAAATGGTGAGACCCTTTCTCAAAAAAATAATGTGGAGAGGCTGGGGAGGTGGCTCTGGTTATTTGTACATACACATGGGGAAAACACTCACAAATAAAACAAGTCTAAAATAATAATGTAGAGAATGACTGAAGACAACCAACATAGACCCCTCTGGCATGTACACATACATTTTTTTTATTTATATTTTTATGTTTATGGGTATTTTGCCTACATGACCTATATACAACATATATGCCTGGTGCCCAAGGAGGCTAGAAGAGGAAGTCTGATCTCCTGACACTGAAATTGGAATTACAGGTGAGCTGCCACATGGGTGTTAGGTATGAACCATCTCTCCAGGACCCTACCCCAACTCCTTTTTAAAGAGAAGAGAAGAGAAGAGAAGAGAAGAGAAGAGAAGAGAAGAGAAGAGAAGAGAAGAGAAGAGAAGAGAAGAGAAGAGAAGAGAAGAGAAGAGAAGAGAAGAGAAGAGAAGAGAAGAGAAGAGAAGAGAAGAGAAGAGAAGAGAAGAGAAGAGGCTAGAAGTTTAGTGTAGTGGCTCACACCTAAATCCTAAGCAAGTGGATGCTGTGGATGGAGAATTACCACAAATCTGAGGCCAGTCTAGGCTACATAGTGAGTTCCAGGTCAGCCTAGGCTACAGAATGAAAAGGCTATCTCAAGAAAAAGAAATGAACAAAGAGTGGCTAGGGGAGGAGTAGCTCAATAGCATTGCACTTGCTTGTCATGTGCAAGGCCTGGTTTAATACTCAGTCCCAAGCAAGGAAGAGAGGAAGAAAAAAAAAGACTCACTCTGTGAGTTCAAGGACAGCCTGGTCTACAGAGCTAGTTCCAGGACAGGCTACAAAGTGACAAAGAGAAACCCTGTCTTGAAAAACACAAAAAACAAAACAAAACCAAAAAAAAAAAAAAAAAACAACTATGTATGTATGTATTTATTTATTTGTTTGTCTGTTTATTTATTATGTATGCAGTGTTCTGTCTATCTGTATGCTTGCTGGCCAGAAGAGGGCACCAGATCTCATTACAGGTGGCTATTTAAAACCAACAGTTCTCATTCTGCCAGTCCCAATCTCTTTGGCTGTTGAATGACCCTTTCACAGGGGTCACATATCAGATATCCTGCATATCAGATATTTTACATTAAGATTCATAACAGCAAAATTACAGTTATAATTACAGTAGCAATAATAATTTTATGGTTGGGGTCACCACAACACGAGGAACTGTATTTAAGGATCACAACATGAGAAAGGTTGAGAACCACTGACTTAATCCATAAGAGGATTCTGTACAGAATCCACTATTACTCACCATATATATTACTAGTTTTAAAAAAAAAAGTATGGGGGGCTGGAAAAACAGCTCAGTGATTAAGAGCACTTGCTATTCTTGCAGCAGACTGGAGTTTGGTTCCCAGCACCTATGCTAGGTAGCTCACAACTTCCTGTACAAACCTCTTAAGCAAAGAGTAGGTACTTAAAGGAAACCTTTTGAGAGCATGTATGCAAACTCCGGCAGATTCCTGTAGGCTTTGATAAATATGGGCTTTGATACTGAAGCGAGAAAAAAAGAAACAATAATCTAACACCAAACCAAGACACAGCAGAGGGTCTCCATTAGGCAGAAGATCACCAAAAGCACGCACACATACACATATCCACATACAGACGCACACATAATTAAAAATAAATGTTAAAAAGCTTTAAGTCGGGCAGTGGTGGTGCATACCTTTAATCCCAGCACTTGGGAGGGATAGACAGTCAGATCTCTGAGTGTAAAATCAGCCTGGTCTATAAAGCAAGTTCTAGGACAGTTAGGACTGTAACACAGAAAAATCTGTCTGAAAACCCCCTAAAAAGTTTTAAAAATATTTATGTATGGAGCCATCGCACAGAAAATCTGATAACTATACAGACTCTGTCGGCAGGAACCAACTGTTTTGATGTATGTGACCGTCTATGGTTGCATTGTACAACTAACAAATGCAATCAATGCCAGAACAGTCACGTAGGTCTTCCTAAAGTTCTATAGCCACGGATCTGGTTCTTTTGAATTTTTATTTTATTTTATGTTTTTTGGAAACAAGATCTTGCATACCCCAAGTTAGTCTCAAATTCACTATGTAGTCAAGGCTGGCCTTGAACTTCTGTGTCTCCTAGTTCCACCTCCTAAATGCTGGAATTACAGACATGTGTTACCACACATAGCTCAAGAGTCTCTATGTTGAATGGAATATAAAATTCTATCAACAAATTATTCTACCTAACTTCCCAGAGAGAGGTTTTCTAATGGTTTATATGCATATGAACACTCTAGTTTGATGGGTAATTGTACTAGCAAGAACTATAAATGATCAATGAAGTCAGCAGGTTCTCAAAACAAGCTTCACAAACTTTAGTCAATCTCTGGAACCTACATAATGGAAAAATCAACTCCAGAAGTTGTCTTAATCTCCACACACATGCCATGACACAAGAGCACAAAAACAATATAAATGTTAAAATTTCCCTATTTCATAAATATTTCTATAACATGTCTAATGATACAATTGTATCCTTTTTTTGATTGTTTATGCATCTAAGTCAGGGTCTCAGTATGTATCCCCCCCCCCCCCCCCCCCCGCTATACTTGGAGCTCTTTATGCAAACCAGGCCTTGAACTCAGAAGGCTCTGCCTGCCTCTGCTTCCTGGAATTAAAGTGTGTGCACCACCCTGCCAGGCTACAATCATATCTTTAGGAAATAAATTTCAAGAAGGAAGGAGTCAAGGGAAGGTAACATGAACATGAAAGAAGTACAATGATAAACACATAAAAATCTCATAACGAAGCATATTCTTTTGTGGGGGAGAAGCTGAGACAGGTAAATCTATATCAAATATTTATTTGATATAGATTTATATCAAATATATATTTATTATATCATAAAATTTATATATATAAATGTATATAATATATATATATTTATATCAAATATAATCTATGATATAGATTATATTTGATTAATCTATAATTTTGGCTATCCTGGAACTATGTTGACTAGGTTGGCATTCGACTCACAAAGATCCACCTGCCTCTGACTCCTAAGTGCTGAGGTTAAAGGCATCTACCACTATGCATGCCTGAAACTTATTCTTTTGTACACTAACTAAAACTAATAAAAAAGAAACAAGTATCAAATGTAACTATTACTGGGCTAAAGAGATGTCTCCCTGGGTAAGGGCACCTGCTGTCAAGCCTGAAAACCTGAGTGTAATCCCTGGGATTGACAAGGTGGAAGGCTGTCCTCTGCAGTCTATCCCCACATAAATAAATAGGAGCTCATTACACTCACACTTAACTACATTCTACATTTACCAAATTCTAGACTTAACTGTACTGTAGTTACATAAGCATGGGTTAAGGTCTCAGTTGTGTATATATAATATCTCCTACTTCAGTTATACCCATTTCTAAAAGCTAAATTGTGATAAAGTAAATAAACTTGTAATTACCATTATTGTTAACAAAATCTTCATGTACAATAGGGAGATCAAGTCGAATTCGTTTTAAACAGGTCTGAAAAAAAGACGTTTTTCCATTTTTATCAATAAGTTAGAGATGAAACAACTACTTATTTATATCTGAAGGAGTTATTCTTCAAATAATGACTATTCATTTTCCTGTCTAACAAGACAGATGTCAAAAGAAAGACCCACGAATAGCAATTCAGCCTCCTTGACTACTTAGACTGTGAATGACATTCACGATAATCACACTTACCTGAACCTCCTTTTTATTTCCCAGGTTTTCAACTCTGTCAATAAAATCTTCAAATTGCAGTTTGGGGAATAGCCTATGTGCCCAGTGCTCCATGTGTCTGATTAGCGTTTTCAAGTCTTCAGCCTGACACATAAAAATAAAAATGCTGAACAGAAGACTCAATCTCACAGCTGACCCTGTCAGCAGATTTTAGCATTTAAAGGCAATGCCAAAGTCACTGCTGTCATATTTATAAGGCTAAGAAACTTTTAGAAAGAAACAGAAAATTCTAAAGCTTGGAAGACCACAATCTCAGAAAGTGTTAAGAGCACTGAATACAGATTTTGTTTTAGACACAGATTTTTAGAAATTAGAAGAAAATATGTATGTATGTATGTATGTATGTATGTATGTATGTATGTATGTATAAAATAGGACTGGGAAGACAGTTCAGATGGTTAACAGCCTGGAGAATAAGGCTGAGAACCGATGTTCAAACCCTAGCCCCACATAAAACATCCCTGTATAGCGGCTGAACTAGATACTATGTCAACTTGACACAAGCGAGAGTCACTGGCGAGGAGGGAGCCCCGCCTGAGAAAATGTCTCAATAAGATCAGGCTTGTAGGACATTTTCTTAATTAGTAACTGATGTGAGAGGGCCCAGCCCATTGTGGGTGGTGCCATCCCTGGGCAGGAGGTCCTAGATTCGGCAAAAACAAAACAAAAAAAAAAAAAAAAAACAGGCTAAGCAAGCCATGGAGAGCAAGCCAGTAAGCAACACCCCTCCAAGGCCTCTGCTTTACCTCCTGCCTCCAGGTTCCTGACTTCCTTTGATGATGAACAAAATGGAAGTGTAAACCAAATAACACTTTCCTCCCCAACTTTCTTTTGGTCATGGTGTTCCATCACGGCAACAGAAATCCTAAGACAGTGGCAGACCTCTGCAGTCCTAGTGCTGAAGAAACAAAGACTGAGGCTAACTGCACAGAGCCTGAGGAAGCACACCTAAAGCTGACCTCTGGCAACAACACACACCCACATCCACCGAGGGGAAACAGCAGTACAAAGTTGGAAGAAAGCTGCCAGGCCTGGTGAAACAGCTTTGATGCAAGCACTGGGGAGGCAGAGGTGGGCAGATCTCTGAGTTCGAGGCCAGCCTGGTCTACAAGAGCTAGTTCCAGAACAGGCTCCAAACTAGAGAAACCCTGTCTCAAAAAACCAAACAAACAAAAAAGAACTAGATACTGTTGAATGTCTTAGACACATCTTAGAGACACATGATCCACAAAAGCAGTGTTAATTATCAGGAAACTTAAAATGATTCTTTAAGAGAAGGCAAAGTAAATTTTATTCTTGTAAACTATAAGGTATAAATGTGGGCTTAGAGACTCAGACTAAAGCCATGATAAACATGGGGGTAAAAAAAAAAAGAGACACAACATTGTTCTTTTAACTCTTCCAAGTACCTTCTCTATTCACTATTTCTCAGGGGTTACCACAGATTAACAACAGTATCTGTGATATATGCATCATAGTAGACCCAGTTTCACTTATTTTTAAAAACATAAAAGCTCTCAAATAAAACAGGTGTGATGACATAAACCTTTAATCCCACCATTTAGAAAAGGCAAGCAGATCTCTATGAGTTTAAGGCTGGTTGGCTGATAATTAGACACTATTCTGCTATTAAGAGGCACCATGACCACAGTCACTCTTAATCAATAAACAAACAAATAAAAATTAAGGGGCTGGAGAGATGGCTCAGCAGTTAAGAGTACTTACTGGCTACTCTTCCAGAGGTCCTGAGTTCAATTCCCAGCAATCATATGGTGGCTCACAACCATCCATAATGAGATCTGGTGCCCTCTTCAGGCATGCAAACAGAACACTGTGTACATAGTAAATAATTTTTTTTTTTAAGCATTTAAATGGGGTCTCATTTACAATTTCAAAGGTTTAGTCTATTATCATCATGGCAGGGAGCACGTTGGCATGCAGGCAGGCACTAGAGCAGTGAAGGGGCCTAACTTAACATCAATACAGCCACGACAGGCTGCAGACTAGCAATACTGGGACTACGCCTCACCCTTACAATGGCCTGGCATCCAGGGACCAATCAGAATTGAGAAAGACAAAAACCAGCCATTCCAGAACATTGAGGACAGCTTACATAACTTGTATATGGGTTGCTAATTTCTTTGCAGTTACAACAAGATTCCTGTTGCCCCACTCCTGCCAGTCAGGAGTTAAAACCCCATCTGAATCTGGAATTTCCCTAACCCCCCCATCCTTTACTCCTTAATAACCCTGCTACAGCTGAGCTCGAGGATCTCTGATCTATCCTGGAACCTACAGAGACTACAAGCTCGAGCTTGCAATAAAGGCTTTTTGCTTTTGTATATGAACTCAGACTCCTGGTGGTCTATGGGGGCCTCATGACAAAAAAAAACATTAGTAGCTGAGAGCTACATCTTGATCCACAGGCAGAGAGAGCAGGACTGAGCCTTGCATGTGCTTTTGAAACCTCAAAGCCCAAACCCAGGGACAACAAGGCCACATCTCCCAATCCACTAATCCTTTTAAATAGTGCCACTCCCCAATGACTTAAGCTTTTAAATATATGAGGGGGTGGCATTCTTATATAAATCACCATAGCTAGTCAGGGCTAGATAGTGATACTCTGTCTCAAATTAAAATAAAATACATAAGTAAAAGTCTAAAATAAAAACCAGGGCCAGAATGTACTCCAGGAGTACTGTTTAGCACAAGTTCAAGCACTTGCCCAGGACCCAATGTCCAGTACTAAGAAAGAGGAATCAAATGTTTCTTACCTCATGACCTTTCCCCTTGAATTTTATCTTATCAAACATATGCCTTAAGGCTGGAAGCCCTCTCTCTGAAGTTAATCTGTGAAAACAAATATATTTGGAATTTCAGATTTTCTAGTCCTGACAAAACCAAGACCACAAGAAAAAATATTTCCTCCCCAATTGGAAAAAAAAGAAAGAAAAAAAATGTTTATGGAGGGGGGGGGTGCTTACAAACTATCTGATTTCCAAATCGTTCAACCAAAGCTTACCACAGTTGAAGAAAAACACTGTGTGGAAAACTTTAAATGTATGAGAGTAAATGTCCATACCTAGTAGCATCTAGCTTGGGTAGATTCCTTTTAACTGTTCTCCTTGGTGGCACAGGAACAGGTGTTCCACTTCCTGATTGTAGTGAAACAGATAGAAATTTAGTGTTTAAAAATTTAAGGCCTGGGCCCTCAAGATGAATCAGTGGGTAAAGGCATTAGCCACCAAGCCTGACTGACTGCTTATGCTCAATTCCCCCATACCCATATCGTGGATAGGACAACTGGCTCCTGCAAGTTGTCCTGACTTCCATATACACATATAGTGGCACCCATATGCCCACAAACATTCAGATACACACAAATAAATAAATGCTATAATTTTTTAAAATTAAAGTCTTATTTACAAAATATATCAGGGCTGGAGAGATGGCTCAGTAGCTAAGAGTACTGATTGCTCTTCCAGAAGAGCTGGGTTCAATTCCTAGCACCCACATGGCAGCTTACAACTGTTCCTAACTCCAGTTCCAGGGGATCTGACACCTTCACACCAACACACATAAAATAAAGTAAAATAAATTATAAAATTTAAAACCAACAAACAAACCAGGCTGTGATGACACACGCCTTTAATCCCTGTACTAGAGGCAGAGGCAGGCAGATCTCTGAGTTTGTGGCCAGTCTGGTCTATGGAGAAAGTTCCACAACAGCCAAGGATATAGGGAAAATCCTGTCTCAAAAAACCAAAAACCAAACCAAGCAAACAAAAAAGCAAATTCAAGGGACATTTGTGAAATTATCAATACAGACCTTCATCAGGTTCAAGTTCTGCAGTATCTCTCTCAGGAGAGGCTGGAGGTGGGAAGGGAGGAAAAGTTTCATCTTCTATATGATCATAATCTGGTATTTCAAACAAGCCATTCTCTTCTTGCTCTAACATCTTTTCCTCCAGAAGAAAAAAAAAAAAGCTATTTTTATCCATCCCAAACAGCCTTCCTAACTATCACACAATCTAATTTCATTCACAATGAAAGTCACGTTTCAATCACTTAAACCACATTTCAAATTCATCCAAAATAAAAAGTAGAGAAGACAGTAAATATGGAGGAAAATGGCTAACCAGAACCAAGTAGTAATGTAGTCCCTACAACTAAACGACTACATGGTTTTTAACATTGATATACGGAGTGTTTTGCCTGCTTGTATGCCTGTGGAGACCAGAAGACATCAGACCATTAGGAATTCAAGTTATAGTTTGAAATATCTATCTATCCATCCATCCATCTATCCACCCACCCATATATATATAGAGAGAGAGAGTGTGTGTTATACTACCAAGTAGATGAGAATCAAACGTAGGTCCTCTGGAAGAACAGCCAGTAATCTAAATCACTGAGACATCATCACTCCAGTCCCCAGGTTACAAATTTTTGTTTTGTTTTTTCGAGACAGAATTTCTCTGTGCAATAGTCCTGGCTGTCCTGGAGTTACAAGTTTTTATTCTTCTAGCATAGACATCCCTACTATTCCTTTTGCAGCTCTCAAGTGTCTCAAGGGCATTTAAGCTCATCGTATACAAAACTGAATAACTAAATGATCTCAATTCAGTGAGTGATGCCCATCAAGCTGTTCAAGTAAAAGACTTACAAGTCACCTTTGACACTTCCTTCTTGCACTCAATATATCCTGCCCATTTAATTTTCGAAATATTCCTTTAATATTTTTCCTTCAGCCAGGTGATCAAGGCATATGCCTCTAAGTCCAGGAGGCAGAGGCAAGTGGATCTGTGAGTTTAAGGACAGCCAGGGCTACACTGAGAAGTCTATATCCAAAAAAAAAAAAAAAAACAAAAACAAAACAAAACAAAACAAAAAAAGAACTGCATGGAGCTGGATGTGATAGTACACACATTAAGCGCAGCACTAAGGAGGCAGAGACAGGAAGATCTGAGTTGAGGCCAGTATAATCTACATAGCAAGTTCAGGACAGCTACGGCTAAAGACACTGTCTTAAAAAAGGAAAAAAAAATTCAGTGGAGAAAAATAATGTTTGCTAGGCATGGTGGCACCTGTAATCCCAGCATTTGAAAGAAAGAAAATCAAGAACTCAAAGTCAGCCTTGAACTTACTTAACAAGTTCAAAGCTGGCCTGGACCAAGAGACCCTTTTTTTTTTTTTTTTTTTTGGGCAGAAAAACAACATGGGTTAAAAGAGACCCTTTTAAAAGAGGCTGGAGAGATGGCTCAGTGGTTAAGAGCATTAGCTCCTCTTCCAGAGGACCCAGGTTCAATTCCCAGCCCCACTTGGCAGCTCACACAGCCTGTAACTTCAACTTTATGGGCTCCAACATCTTCATATACATGTATACAAGTATAACATGAATGCACATGAAATAAAAATAAATTAAAAAATAAAACTTTACTGGGCAATGGTGGGAAGGCCTTTAATCCCAGCACTCAGGAGGCAGAAGCAGGTGGATCTCTGAGTTTGAGGCCAGCCTGCTCTACAGATCCCGTTCCACAACAGCCAGGGCTATCCAGAGAAACCATCCCGAAAAAACTAAAAAACATACAAACAAAAGAATAAAATTTATACCATGTCAACTTCACTTCATACCATATCTCTCATACCTTCTCTTTTAATTCCTTAAAAGAACAATTTCCACTGTAAAAAATCTTAATGTTTGTTTGATAAAGTAATTTTTTGTTTTGGGTTTTTGGGGGGGGGGGGCAGGGATTACGAGACAGAGCTTCTCTGTATAGCCCAGGCTGTCCTGGAACTTGCTCTGTAGACCAGGCTGATTTTGAACTCAGAGAACCACTGTCTTTGTCTCCTGAGTACTAGGATTAATGGCATGCACCACCACCTCCCAACAAAGATTTTTACCTATGTGTTTGCCTGGGTTTGTATGCAACATGCATGTGTAAATGTACAAAGAAGCAAAAGGTGATATAAGCAGGTTTGAGTGGTAGAAAGAGAACCCAGGTCCTTTTCAAGAGCAGTAGATCTCTGACATTCACTGAGCACCGTTTTTGTTGTTTGAAATAAGGTCATATATTGGCCAAGCTGGCCTCCAATTCCTGATCCTCCTGCCTCTACTCCCCAAGTGCTAACATTACCTACATTTTGAAAGCTCGTCCCTGATCCCTAATTTCTTTCAAATTTTAACTATTACCTCATCAGGAAAACCTATCTCAAATCAGGAATGTTGAGACGTTCTGTAACCCCAAAAGGTAGAGGAAGGAGGAACAGAGTTTATTTCAGGCCATCCACAATTATTTCAAGGCCAGCCTGAGACTCTTAGACTATTTAAATGTCCCTAAATTGAATAGCAATACTGTATGAGCACTGTGGAAGCCCTAAGGACAACTTTCTGACTTTCATCATCAGGGAATCAAATTCAAGTCAAATTTGTACTGCAAGCACTGTTACCTGACAGGCCACCTTTATTGCCCAGAATCCTCTTACAACAATTAACACCACCATACAGAAGTTTCACAGGAATCATCATCTCTCTATTAGGTTTTATTTAATGTTACTCTCCTATAATGAAATGTACCTTTCTTAGAACAAAATCAGACAGGTCTCTTTGTGTTCCACTACTATATCCCAAATTCAGTATACAATAGATAATATATTTACTACAGGAAGGAAACAAAAAAAATTCCAAGTGATATACACTGTAGCCCCAATACTTAGGAGTCTAAAGTAGAAACCCAGGAGTCCAGTCTGGGCAAGAGTCCTTGCCTATACAAACACACCCACAATACACAATGCAGAGGTAGCTCAGTTGGTGGAAGGCTTGGTTAGCATCCACAAGACCATGGGTTCAATTTCCAGTATAACCAGTCATAAACCAGATGTATGTATAGGGGTGCATTGGTTTGCAACCCCAGCCCTCAAGTTATCTTCAGCTGGGCCAAGCCCAGACTAGTTTGGGCTACATGAGAATCCCCATCTTCAAAAATAAAAAGCTTGAGCTGGAGGTTGAAAACACACATTGCTGTTACAGAGGTCCTAAGCTCAGATGCCAGCACCCACACTGAACAGCTCACTAACGCCTCTAACTACAGCTTCAGGGGATTTGACACCTGGCCTCATGTGCACTTATTCCTGCCTCACACATTCTTAGAAAGTAAATCTCAAAAACAGTAAATTTCACCAGGCGGTGGTGGCATACACCTTTAATCCCAGCACTGAGGCAAACTAACTCTGTGAGTTTAAGGCCAGCATGGTCTCCAGAGTTCCAGGACAGCTAGGACGACGTGAAGAAACCCTGTCTCAAACAAACAAACAAACAAAAAAAACATAAATTTTCAAAGTTTCCTCCAAAACTAAACATATTTGGACTCAAACATATTTAAAACACCCCAATCAGGGCTGGAGAGATGGCTCAGCCGTTAAGAGCAGTGACTGTTCTTCCAGAGGTCCTGAGTTCAATTCCCAGTAGCTACATGGTGGCTCACAACCACCCATGATGAGATCTGGTGCCCTCTTCTGGCCTGCAGGCAGACATACAGGCAGAACACTGTATATAAAATAATACACCCCAAACAAAACAAAAACCCCCAATCTAGATTTTCAACTTTTATTACATGATTTTTACTTATTATTGGTGTGTGTATATAATGTGAATGGGCAAGAGGAACCCTGGACTCAGGTCTTCCACCTTTCCATGAGCTCTAAGTACCATCTTTACCTGTGGAGCATCTAGCTGGCCCCAGTTCTAAATTCTATGACCATAAGTCTATAAAAACAAAGCACTGACTCTGGATAATACACGGCTAAGTCTTTGAGTAAGTTTTATGAACCATGATTTTGGGGAGCCAAAAAGAAAGTAACATAGTATGTTTAGGGCTGGAGACTGCAGCTCTTAGCCTAGCCCCAGACAAGCGCCCCAAGCCTCCAAACATTTAGTGCCATCCCAATGGGAGTTTGAAAACAGGACTTAAAACTACAATAACCAGCAAATAAACAATAAAGCACGAGGTGGGGCTCATCAGTACACTCGTTTCTCTTAGCACACGGCAAGCGTCGTTCGCTAGGTGTCTTTCTCCCCTTGACAATATTTTTGTCTACCTCCCCCTCATGGTCCTCAAACTCCCAGAGAAGTATGGGAGTAACAAATTCAGCATCCGACTGGCAACTCCTGCCCACACCTCTTACTAACCTACTTTATTTCCAGCTGTCAAACAAGCTCCTCACCTTAAAGGACTCCGGCATCCTGACTCACCCTGGGTGCTACCCCTAAAAATATCACGTCTCCCTTCCCTCTTCTCGAGGCTTCTCATCCTCCCTCCCGGCCAGTCCACTTCATTCACCCCCCCATTCTCCGTCCCGACGCTTGGCGCCAAGCGTGTGTGCGCGCGGTGGAGGCCCGCCATGCTCCCGCCCGCTCCGCCCGGTCCTCCTCAGCACTGCAGCCTAGCTCCTGCCGCCCCAGTTCCCGCGCCCCACGCCGAAATTCCAGAACCTCCGGCGAAACGGCTTCTACCAGAGACTCCCTCACCGAACTGGGTCTCACCTCCAGCAAACGGCCAGACCGTAGACAGCGCGAACAGCGCCTCTCGCGAGACTCAGGAACACACTACGCGAGAAGAACTGGAAAGTTTGGCGCCAACAGCGCCCGAGCGGCCTGGGCGGGGCCTAAGGACCTGGGCCCCGCCCACCTGGGTTCGGAAGCCTTCTTTCCTCTCCAGCATATTTTTCAATAGCATGAAGCTCAGAATTCGTACTTTCTAGGCACTTTATTGGCCTTCGAAATAGGTCTCCGTTCGTAGAAACCGGGTGGTGGAAGCCGGGCGTGAGAATGCACGTCTGGAATCCCAGGCCCCGGCAAGCTGAGGCAGATGCCTTTCTGTGAGTTCGAGGCCAGCCTGATGTATAAAACCAGTTCTAGGCCAACCAGAGCTGTTACACAGAAAAACCCTGTTTCAAAATGCAGACAAACAGCAACAACAAGAATGAGATAAAGGTGCTAGAGAGATGTCTTAACCATTAAAAGTACTTGGTGCTCATGCAGAGGACTAGTTTGATTTCCAACACCGACATAGTGGCTGACAACCTTGTATAATATCAGAGCATTTGAGGCCCTTTTCTGGCCTGCAGAACACCAAGCATTCTGCTGGTTTACATACAAAAAGCCATGGAAATAAAAGACAGAGAGAGAGAGAGAGAGAGAGAGAGAGAGAGAGAGAGAGAGAGAGAGAGAGAGAGCACTGAGCAGTGGTGGTGCACACCTTTAATCCCAGCACTTGGGAAACAGAGGATCTCTATGATCTCTATAAGTTCTAGGCGCCAGCCTGCTCTACAAAGCGAGTTCCAGAACAGCCAGGACTGTTTCACAAAGAAACCCTGTCTTGATCACCCCCTCCTCCCCGCCCAAAAAAAAAAAAAATGAGATGGTGAGAAAAACAACCCGTGCTAGCTTTTAACTCTGTACCCTCCGTGTTCACTTACAAAATAAATAATAATAGAGCTGAAGGAGCTAGAGAGATTGCTCAACACAGCCGGGCAGTGGTGGCGCACACCTTTAATCCCAGCATCCGGGGAAGCAGAGGCAGGCAGATTTCTGTGAGTTCGAGGCCAACCTAGTATACAAAGCAAATTCTAGGACAGCCTGAGAAACCCTGTCTGGGGTAGGGGGGGAGCAACCCAAAAAATTCGAGGAAAAAGACCACAGACCCAAATCATCATGGCAATACTAATTAAAGCAAGCTTTTTTTAATTCACATACACCTAAAAGTGGAGTTCAAGAGATCAGCCTTGGATGTGAGGAAAACAAGGTTCTTGTAGTTCAGGGGTAAGGGGTTCCCAAATGATTTGATGGGCAAAATAGGCAAGGCTACAGGAACAAGACATAGGCATAAAAATCTCAGTCTTCTTTTTTTTTTTTTTATTATTTTTTTTTAATCTTTTTTTTAATCTCAGTCTTCTAAAGCAAAGACATGATTGCAAGGTAGTTGATAACAAGTTAGTCATAATAACCTTGGAAACAAAGGTAGGGTTCAGGATAGCTATACCTTTTTGAAGCAAAGACATGGTTGCAGCTTCCTGGAACAGGCCGTACAGAGCCATTTGCTCCTAAGGTTACAGGTGGGGCATTGCCCAACCTTGAAAAACAGATTTAATCATAAACAGGAATGGGCCTAGTTCGTCTTTACTGTAACCTGGCTTTTAAGTGTAAAATGAAGGCAGACTGAACCCAGGTAATATTCCTAAATCTGCATGGCTACTCCCAAACACCTGAAATTCCAGTTCCAGGGGCTCTGCTGCCCTCTCCTGACCTCTGGGGGCACTGCACACACCAGTGCACTTCCATGCAGATAGAAGTCATACACATAAAATAAAAGCAAATAAAATTTAAAAGTGTAATTAGAAGCCAGGTGATGGTACACACCTTTAACTCCACCACTTGAGAGGCAGAAGCAGGCAGATCTCTGTGAGTTTGAGGCCAGCCTGGTTTACAGAGCAAGTTCCAAGACAACCAGGAAATCCTGTCTTGAAAAATCAATAATAATAATAATAATAATAAGCCGGCGGTGGTGGCACACGCCTTTAATCCCAGCACTCGGGAGGCAGAGGCAGGCGGATCTCTGTGAGTTCGAGACCAGCCTGGTCTACAAGAGCTAGTTCCAGGACAGGCTCCAAAACCACAGAGAAACCCTGTCTCGAAAAAGCAACATAATAAATAATAATAATAATAATAATAATAATAATAATAATAATAATACGTGTGTAAAACATGAACATCTGTGCAGTGCTCAAAGAGGCCAGAAGAGGGCATTGTATCTCCTGGAACTGGGGTTACAGGCAGTTCACAACAGCTCACAACCTGAACCTGGATATTCTGGGAAAGGAAAAAGTGCTCTAGAATCAATCATTGAACAATTGCTCTGGTATCATTATTTTTATTATTTTAATTTTATGTGGTGTATGTGTTTCCCTGTACCTGTACATGCTGGTGCCCAAGGTGTCCAGAAGAAGGCATGGAATTTCCTGACATGGAGTTATGAGCAGTTATAAACTACCATATGGATGCTGGAAATTGAGCCCTACTCCTCTGCAAGAATCGCAAGTGTTTTTGAACACTGAGCCATTTTCTAGCTTCATATTATTTGTGGGGTTTTGTTTGTTTTATTTGGTTTGGTTTGGGTTTTTTATTTCTGTTTTTTGTTTTATTTCTTTGTAAGTTTGATGTTTTAGATGGGTCTCTCTATGTAGCCTTGGCTATCCTGAACTTGCTACATAGACCAGGCTTGCCACAAGCTCACAGAGATCCACCCATACAAGTGCTGAGACTAAAGCATGCACCACCACAGCTGGCGTAATTGGGTACATTTCTTTCTGACCTTCATAAAATGATATCAAAGTGCATGTTTTCTGTCTGGGCTTATTTTTTCTTCCATATTTTGTTCTGTGGTACCTCCGCATTGTTTCCCTTTCTTTTAATTTATTTATTTATTAAAGATTTCTGCCTCCTCCCCGCCACCACCTCCCATTTCCCTCCCCCTCCCCCGATCAAGTCCCCCTTCTTCATCAGCTCGAAGAGCAATCAAGGTTCCCTGACCTGTAGGAAGTCCAAGGACCACCCACCTCCATCCAGGTCTAGTAAGGTGAGCATCCAAACTGCCTAGGCTCCCCCAAAGCCAGTACGTGCAGTAGGATCAAAACCCATTGCCATTGTTCTTGAGGTCTCAGTAGTCCTCCGCATTGTTTCCTATCAGAAAATTGTAAGACCTCTCTGTCCTGTCAGCCTGCTCCCCACTAACCACAAAGAGGCTTAATATTAATTATAAATGCTCCACTAATAGCTCAGGCTTGTTACTAGCTAGCTCTTACAACTTGAATAAACTCAATTATATTAATCTAAATATTGCCATGTGGCACTACCTCTCTTTCATCTTGCACCTCCTCTTCCCTTTCGTATCTCACTGGGGACTCCTCCAACTCCCCCTTCTTTTTCCCAGTGTCCTTAGTCTGGCTCTCTGGCCTAATCTTATTCTGTCCAGCTATTGGCCTGCCAACTTCTTTATTAAACTCATCACAATGACATGTGTTCACACAGTGTGAAGGAATATTCCACAGAAAACTTGCATTGTCGCATCCTATACCACACTTCATTCAACATCCCTTTTATTGATGGAAGGTTTCTTGTGCCGCTGTGTACAGCACTGCCCCTGACCATGTGTACGTATGTAATATACATGTTAATTTAAGGAACAGAGATCTGAAAAGACAAGAAGGAATGGGATCAAGGTCACAGATGGGGGGGTGGCCTTTGATTTGAGAGTGGGGCAGTTCACTCTGATAGGAGTTTACAGGTAGGGCATTTTAGGTTTGTGAGAGAAACCTAGGGGCTGAGAAGATGATCAGTTCACACCAGGGCTGAGGTTCTGTTGGATAAATGCAGTGGAAAGAAAAAGGTAAAGAAAAAAAAAGAGGTATTTGCCAAAAGTGATTACTAGTTCATGGGTCTGAAGTGAATGGGGGACTCAGAACCAGAGAAGACTGGGTGAGGGGAGAAGTTTAAGTGGATTCTGTGGGGCTTCCGGTTTGTTTCTAGGGTTGTTGTGGGCAAAGGGTGGGGAGTTTGTGACTGCGCTGTTGGAGACTGCACCACCGAAGGGCAGTACAGAGGCAAAGGAGTTTCTGTTCTCATAGAGATGCAACTGACCCAAGCCCCCATCACTGCCACCCCTTGCAGAATCTGGGGGGCCCTCCTGAGATCCCTACAAACTCAGTGAGACAGGTTCTCACCATCACCTAGACCTCAGAACTTGAACTTGGACTCTTCTTCCAGTTTCAATAATAAATCAGTAGATGCAGACACCTCATGTCGCTCCTGGGGGAGAGGTTCCTGGTACCTGGCAAAGCTTCCGTTTCCATAACCACCTTCCCCGTTTTTCTCTTCTTTCCATCTCTTCTGCGCATAGGCCATTTTCCTCGGCTTTCTTAGCTTAGAGCCAGCTGACACGCCCAGGATGGGAGTGGGAGGCCTGCATGTGGGCGATCTGCCTCAAGCACCGGTGAGGATACAATGTTCTCCCTGTCGGGAACACTGCTCTCTCTAGCGGGACTGCCATCTAGGAAGGCAATTAAATTGTTCTCTCCACTATCCCAGTTCGAATTTGATTCAGTGGGAATGGCT